AAGTTCTGTTTAACCCGGCATTAAATCTATGTAAACAATGTCAGAGGAAGTGTTGAAACAAATTGCCACCGAACAATGGTCTGAACAATGAAGTTCAAACTGCCATTGCATATCAAATATGGCAGCTTGAAGCTCAAAACAGAAGACATGAAAGACAATGGGGAATTCAGGCTATGTAAGAGTTATAGTTACACGTATTCTTTGTTCTGCCTTTTGTTCTAGGATACAAACCTGCGTGCAGGGTCCCAAAATGAACTACTCACCGGTGACAGCCTATGGTCATTCTATTATAACTCTGTCCTCAAACCACCTTTAAACACGAATTAGTTCTCCGGGTTTGCTTTGTGTGTGTCTTTGGTGTGTTATAGTTACTACATCTGAATGAATCTAGCCACCCTGGTATTTTGTAGTGATCTTGCTTCCTATAAGGTAAATGGTTTGCTCCCTCCATCCACAATAATACCCTATTATTATATTATTATGTTATGATTGTATTATTATGTATTATATTATAGAGAAATAACAGTCCCTACACATGCAAAAGCATGCTCTTTGAACCCAAATAGAAATTAAAATATTTTAATAATTAAGTAGGAATATAACAAAGAAGCAATTAAAGGAACATTTGTTGAAACAGTCCATGACAATTTTATATTCAGTTTTCTTGACTCAAGAACCAAAGATCGTATCTCCACACAGTTTACTTCTGTTAGATGAGAATTAGATGATTTATAAGTTTGTTTTGAGTAACTGGTAATATGAAAGAGCACATATATGGAAGAGCTACAGACAACTAAGAAAAGCTTAAATGAATCATAGATAAAAGAGAGAAGGATAAGATACAACAAAGAAGGTACTTGCAAAGGAGATGTTAACACTTAAACCTTACTTCTCTGAAAAACATCTTGTAGAAATATGAGGGGATGGGCACCTGGGTTCAGATGCTGGTTCTGCCTCCTGAGTACTTGGGCAAACTGTTTGACCTGCCCAACCCTCAGTTTCCTCCTCTGTAAAATGGGTGTAACAAATGTCTAGTTCACAGGACCGGTATGAGAACGGGTATGTAAAGTGACATGTGGTATGTAGTTACTATAAATTGTAGTTATTAGTATATCTGGAAAAGATTTACTATTGACTTAAAAGTCATATTGTTTTTTCAATATGAAGAAAAGATATCAGAGTTTCTCATCTAAAAGTTCTGCACGGATTTCTTTCCTAATTCATCTACCACACTGGCAGAAATTGCTTGTAAGCTTTACTTGGCTGAGTCTGCTCCATTCATCTGTCAACAAGATTCTGGGCTTCAAATCGAGTTGACAATCGTTGAAGGTGAATGCAGGCTGTCCGACAGCGTCGTATTTCACACTTCAGAGGGTTCTACGCTACCAACAATAACATCATATCTCTGTCAGTCAAGCACAATTATGGGGCTTGAGAGATTGAGACAAACAAAAGCCAGTTAAAGCGGGTCTCTGCAGTCTTTCCTGCCTACAGTTGTAGGACCTGTTTGATTCTGTTTCCTGTGAACATTAGAATGGCACCTCCTTCAGAGACAAAAGGACAGAGAAACCACATCCCCCGCTGACTCTAAAAAGATCAAAACTAGTGCAAAATTTGCCATATTTGAAAACTCTGAAGTCATCTTGTAAATTTTGATCATACCCTTTGCTTCTTGTTGAAACACAAATGTATTTTTTTAAGCTATAAAAATAGAAGGTACAATTTCATGCCATCTGGAGTCAGCCAATGCAACGGTCAGACAAATCATTCTAGCCAACACATCTGTGCCATCGAGTTAGGCGCTCAAAGCACTCGACGAGATTCCTTTAGAGCAATGTTTTATACACGTTACCTTTATGAGAAGGAAAATAGAAAAAAGTACCTGATAGTCACATAAAAATAAATTACATACATTATCATAAAATTACTTCACCGCAGCCTTTTATAGTGGAGATGCCTATGGTAGCAATATCTTTTTCTCAACATGGATAGGGCCGAGCAGTAAGCTGAACAGCTTCCTAAAGCGTAGATTGATATGTGGGATCTAACTCAAGCTGTATTTCAAGTTTTCAATTATAAGTGGCCTCAATATGCAAGATACAGAAACTGACAAAAGAAACACGTTAGCCACACATAATTCTAGCATGATATATCCAACTTTTCCAAAATATATCAAATGAAGATGCAAATGTAAGGTTGCTAAGTTAAATTTTATCATTAAGCTTTTTCTTTTTACTCTTACTTGAGAGTATTACTTTAGGAGGGCAATGAAAAAAGATGACTACCAGTGACAAAGAGATCTGCCATTGTCCCTCAGGCCGACCAAGCTTTCCTTTGTTCGCTTGTCTTAGTGAGTGTTCTAACGTTGCCTTTGGCACTATTGACCACACTTCACAACAAAGTGAAAGCGAATGTCAAGAAAACGCACATCAGGACACCAGGTTACACTTCACAATCTCTCTGTCCACCTGAAGCCACAGGACCACAGAAGGTCACAGCTAGAAGGACGTTCCAGGGATTTACTTGATACAGGTTCTGTGCCAAGGATTGCTCACCAGCAGTAAGACTACTTAACCGCGCAGATGACCATTGTTCCTCCATTTCATTTACAGAATGGAGGCAAGGGCAACTGCCGAGAAAACGGCAGCATAACCTCTGATATTTTATCCAATTTCTTAAGTGTGGAGAGAGTTAAATAATTTTTTTTTTAATTAGGGAAATAGAATTTCTCTAAAAATAAAATTACAGAAACTTTCAGTTCACAGAAAAGAAGTGGAATTAAAAAAGGACACATAAAATTAAATGATGCTAAAAATAGGAAGAGTATGGTCACTACAAGTTAAACTATCAAAAACTGGATATTGCATCTCAAGAAATATACCATTGATAAACCTGTTTAATCATGGTCTTGCCACTGTTCATTAATTTTTATTCAGATGCAAGAAATATAACGGAAATATCTTCTAAAGCCAGTTACTATAAAGCAAAATTTGATGAAAGGCAAATACCTCTTGAAAGTCATATATAGGCATTTATAAATTAGAGGCTCAAGAGGATTCCATTATAAGATATTTCACCCTTGATATGGGGTCCCAAGTACTATGGTAAGACTCCATTGTATTAGTAAAAATAGCATCATCAATATCTATTTTTTCTCTTTTACACAATCAATGGTTTTTTATCTTATCAAATGTGAGTGACTTGAATTACCTTTTAGTCAGTATGAAAACTCATGATTATACTTTATTTTTTGGATTGATGCAGTTCGCTAAACACATCATAACTTCTCTAAAATGCAGTTGAGACGGGGCAGTATTAACGCTTGCTTTATAAATTAGCCACTTTACATTTTTTGGTCACGCTTTTACTATGCGTAATTATTTATATCAAGGAATATGATTTGACCCATGGCCTGCCAAACCTGCGTGACCATGATCCATGTGATCACACACTTCTAATTCATAGGGAACAGGGATAATTGGTAAGCAGAAAGGGTTTAAAATCAGACATATCTGGTGGAATTCCAACTTTGCAAACCCTCTCTAGCAGGGCAACTGTTGATAATCAACCTTCATGAGCTTCCGTTTCCTCACCAACAATGGGAATGGTGACATCAGAGGAGTGCTGCGAGACAAAATGAAAGTATGTGTGTAAAGGGCCCAAAACACTACCTGCCATATACTAGCAGCTTAAAACATAGTCGTTCTCTTTTCTATTTATCTAATAAGTATGTAGAGAACCTGGACTAATAGACCCCGAGAAAGCAAGAGCTACACAGATGCCTAAATTTGTGAAGGACCAAAGAGGAAATACTAGAATCCTGAATGTCACCGTAAGGCGGAAATGAGATTTAACAACCTCTCGGCATGCCTGATACTTACATCCACAAAAAGGAGCCTTGAACACTCTCTTCTGGCTGTAATCTCCAGAGTTTCCTCTGGGTAGTAGTGGTTTGTTTCTAGTTTGAAAGACAGAGGCTTAAATATGAAGCCAAAGAGTAAGTGTCCTAGACCTGGGGCATGCCATCTGCCTAGCATTAAGCAAGAGCTGAAAGTCAGTTACAGAAGCAAAGTCATTTCTAACATGATTTATGTTCCATCCTTGAACGTGGCAGGAAGACTGCAAAAGATATTTGGAAGCCAATGCTTCCTCTGAATAAAGTAAACGAGTACATGCTAAGCCCCTCTCCCCGGACCATGCTGGCCTGTTAGATAAGTTGCCAATGTGGAGTCTGTGAATCTTGGAGCAAACTGGCTCTTCAGGATGAGAAAATATTTCAAGGCCAATGATCATGGCTACTGTAAATGCACAGTGCACAACACAAACACTGGGGTCAGACAACAGATATCCAGGATATTACTCAAAAACACATCTAGCTCAAAGCTGACAAGATAATCTGTTCCTGTGAGTGCAAAGCAGACTGGAATGCTGCAGCTATGACCCACTCAAGGAAAGGAAAAAGCAAGGGCATCTCTCCAGGGGCTCCATCTCAGGCTCTTCATGCAGGCAAAGCTCCAATAGACTTCAAAGGAGTATAGCCTGACGGGGGAGGACTGGACCAGGCCCATGGGGGTATCACTTCCAAGATCATGTTGCCATCTACATTTGGTGGACTGGCAAATGCAAATATTTCAGATACAAGTTTAAACAGATGAAAAAAGAAGTGTGAAATAGCTTGGAGATTTGCTTGCAAAAGAAACCTCAGAATTCCAGGAAAAGCATTTAATAGTAGGAGCTTCATAAGTTATTCCAAAACTCCCAAGAGAGTAATTGGTTTGTGATCGTATTAAAAATAAAGTTTTTTTAAATTGACGCGCATTACATTCCAACATGTACAAAATAGTTTACTTAAAAAATAATTTCCAGAAGTTAAGTATTCTTCAAAGATCAGTAACATTTTTCTAATTGGAATATAGACTATATTTTGATGTTTTAGCAAAGTGTTAACATACGTGATCCTGATTAATGTAGAAGAGCCCAAATGCAGCAAATATACTTACAGGAGGACCTGTGGTGGGGGTGGAGAGACAAGAAAAAGGGAGAGACGAATTAGTGAATACGCAAAATACTAAGATTAAATGAAAGATTGACATAATCATCAGCACAATACAAGGGACATAGAAGTCATTTAGATTTCAGTGGTTCTTAATCTTTTTTGGGGTCATGGACCCTTTGAGACCATATCAGAAAAACGCATTTACATCTTTCTGCATACAAAATTTTGCATAAAATTTCAAATAATATCAATTCCTTGATGCCTGTTTATGGATTACTGAGAGGTTCATATATCTTAAGAAAAGACTGCCTAATTTATATACCTAAATATTTAGATAAAATGTGAATCAGGAAGATCTTTGGTCACCCAGGACAGACCAGTTATAGAGAATTGATATACAACTTTCTTAAGTTTGGTAAAATGGCTAAATCAGAAATGTATCCCTTATTTGTTCTAAGAATGTTTTTCATTCAGTAGCATTGTCAATATATAAAAGACTACATCCTGATGTCTATATGTTTCTTTAAAACTATGTATTCTCATCAAAACACAGGCAAAATCTAAGAAAATTTCAATATTTTGCACACCATCAGCTTAATTAAAACACCAGTTTTAAGTAACCAGGAGGTTGGGAATTGACTTTTGTATCTTCTATAAAACTTTACAAAAGGGCAGCATTTTCACTGTTTTTTTCCAATCCCCTTTCTTTTGACACAAAGAACAATTCAGCGGTTATTTGACTCCACCAACATTTCATCATTTTTTTTCCTCAAAACAAACTTACAAAGCAGCTTCCATTATAAAACTTTGTACTTTGTGAAGGGCTATCCAAACCAGTTTCCATTATTTAGACTCAATGAGGCTTAAAGATAACTTTTGAGAATACTCTTAAAGGAATTAAGCAGATACACTGCCTAAATTATTGAATTTTCATAAATCCTTTTTACTTTGACATCTTTTTTCCAAAAGGAAGAGGAAATGAGACCAAAAAAACCAATCTGCTGTCTGCTCTTTTTGATAGGTTAGTATTTTTACTATTTGACACTTAGTAATTGGTTGTTTTTAATACTGATAAATACTTATAGAAAATACTGGAAAATAACAATTCTTAGCACACTAGAATCAAACCTTAAATTACCTTCTTCTTATCTTGACTTCTCATGGTTATTTACATTTTTGGAGTCTTAGACTTTATAAAGTAAAAAAGTAAGCAAACTCAGTCATTCGGATATCTTGGTTTCAAAAAATGTTTTATTTGACTTTTCTGCTTCCCTTTGTATGTAAGGATTTGGCCTGAAAGCCAAGACTCACTGAAGCGGGCGTCAGGACAACTGCTTGAGTTTCAAGTTCTGCTCATAAAAAAGTGCATGGCCTTGGCCGACCACCTGACTGCTCTGGGCCTCCATTTCCTCAACTACAAAATGAAAATGCTGGATTGATTGCCAAGGCTGCTGTCATCACTAAAATTCTAGGGTTATACCAGAGGAACACAAATTCTCAAATTTTGAAAAAAATGAGAGTAAAAGCATCACAAAATTGTACCAGTTGGATAAAATAACAATAAAGCTTTCCAAGACATGTGCCCCAGTGTCCCAAGACAGATGTTTTCACAGAGAACCTACATTCACTGACCACCTACAGAGAGGGAGGCAGGGGAGATGTTGCCACACTGCGTGCAGCTGAGAAATCCTCCAACGGACGCAGAAAGGACAGGCTTAACCTGATACAGTAAATAAGCCAAAACTGGGTGCCAGTGGTTATGAAACTGTAATTAATAATATTTTGCCAACTTCTCCTTCCTACAGTTTGATGGACGTAAGGAGAAGACAAAAAACATTCTAGGTCTAGCAGAGAAGATTTAAAGACACACAAGCACACACACGCAACCTCCAACTAGACAATCTAATCATTAATTAGGAGGAACAGATGCAGAAACCTAACCAGAACATGAATGACACAGAGCAGCTGAAAGAGACACTTACCAGATTCTCCTCTTCGGCCCCTCTTACCTCGTTTCCCCGGAGGGCCTGAAATACAAAGAATAAATTTTTGAATGTGATCTAACTTTTTTTTTCTGGTTCCAAAATGGCTAGTAAATAATTCCTATACATATTTTATCACTGTTTTTAACTCACAATTTCAAGAAAGGGACCACATATTTGTAAAGGCCAGCACTATCTTTGGTATTTCAACCTAACCCTTAAGCTTCACTTAATTATAAAAGCTACATGAGACCTCTAATCACCTAGTGTTACTTCAGAACACTAAAGATTCGGAATTTTTATTCATCCTGGCTCAATAGCATAAATAAAGAAAGGCTTGCTAAGCAAATTGGTGGTATTGAGATTTCATGTTTCTTAGGAAAATTTCTTTTCTGAAGGTTTCAGTATATTAATAATTAAAAGTCCTAAGTATAAACGACTATAGTTTCTCTTCAGTCAGGTCCATCATGATTCTCTCGAAAATATTTAGTTGGCAGTTAATTAAATGTATATATTAGTAATGGAAATAATCCTTACACATATTTCTATTTTATTAAATGTGAATATATATATATTGGAATTTCCCTAATTGAGAACCAGCTGAGTTAAAATCACATCCTTTTAATTAGAAAGTGTTTAGGTAGTAACTATAGGCCTCATTTGTCTAAGGGGCTAGCTCATTTCTTGTCATGCAATAAATATTTAGTCCTTACAATGATCCCACTACAAAAGTGGAGAAAAAACTCTTTTTTCAGTGTGTTGCCTACAAAGATCACAAAGCTGGTATGTATCAGACATAGCATGAGATTCTGGACATTCACGGCCATTATTTCAAGCCATTATTCTCAGCTATATAATTTCTGCCTTCATTCCCTTGGGTAGGAATAGCTCCCACTGAATTATGGTTCAGGCAAATAGAAGAGAATAATTAGCCCACAATGAGAACTGAGGTCTTATAATATTTGCTGGATGAAAGAGGCCAAGGAAAACACAGAACTGCCTGGCTTTAAAGAATGAGCTGCTAAGGTAGACTGATGACTTCCAAACTCTAGAAAGTTCAGGACACAAGCAGCACAGGCCTTAGCATCCAGCTGACTCTCAGTGTGATCCTGAGCCACCGATTTCCACATGGAAACACCATCACGAGAAATAAAAACATTGGTGGGCTAGTAAGTTTCCCCTCCAGCCATTCCACAGAATGTTTGGCCATCTGTGTTTTGTAAGAGGTTAAAAATAATTAAACAATAAAATTAGTTGAAAATATTAGGAGAAGCAGCTTTACAGCAGAGTCCAGAATGGTCATTAGAAATATTAGGTTTCTTTCTGTATTCTGGAATAAGGAAACATTTTAATCATAATTCAAGGTATTCTTGGCCAGATTGAAAGCAGGAGGAGAATCATATAAATAGGTAAATAAACCCAGTAGGACACTAATAGGTATGAAAATAATATATTTATATACTCTCTCAAACACACACATATATTGACATATTCTGATATTATACAATGTCCTTAAAAGTAGGAATCAGATTTTTTTCTATTACAAAATCACTTAAACTAAGAAGTATTTAGCAACTACTGTAACTTATGATGTCTGCAGTCTGCACAGTAGGGGTTATAGGGCCTGTATAAGATGTATACCTGCCATAAAGAGGCAAAGAAGTTGAGAAGATTAAAATATTACACATGAAAAATTGTTGGTAGCATGTTGTGAAGATGAACAATGAATTTATGCTCTGATTTGTTCCTTCTACTCAAAACACATGGTCAATTATAAAAAGAGAAAAGGTATTTAGAAGAATTTGTATACAAAAAAGAAATGGGCATGTCCACAGGCCAGAAATGGACCAAAAAGCAAAGTGGAGAGCAGTGATAAAACCATGAGCCTGCTGAACTCCAGTTCTAGAAGTAGGAATGGCGGCCACAAGTACTATTCCTGAAGAAGACACACACAAAAGTTCTCTAACCAGAGCCAGACTCACTTCTTCAAGCCAGCAGCTTAGAAGTGCTGAAGACCTTGGTCTCTGGCTTAGTGACTGAAGAATACAGACATGATCTCTCAGTCAGAAAAGGAAGTAAGGATCTGCTGGTTTGATGCCTAACTCTATGATATCCCCAACACAACTCAGAGACCGGAGTCCTGAAATGCCACTTTTAAGATTAGTCTTGTCTAGAAGGCTGGGGGGTCAGCTAAAGACCAACACAGAATGGTTAGGTAAAAAAGGGTGAGCACAGAGGAAAGAAAGGCAGACACACAGAGAGAAAACTACACCAATAATAATAATAATAATACCTACTACTCATACTGAGTATACAAACCAAAATTCTAAAACACACGAGGAAATCTAATGCTAAGAAAGGCAGCACTCACAAGAGGATCATGAATTCTGTCCAGGTATTAATTTTAAGAAATCATCAGACAAAGGTCAGTATGTTAATCATGCTTTAAGAGATAAATGAAGAAGTAACACTCATTAAAGAGCAAAGGATTTTAAATTTAAACAGCAAAGAAAAAAAGAACAAATGGACTTGAAAGAGAACCCTTAAGAAATCTTGAAAATGAAAAATACAGTCATTGAAATTTTTTTAAAAGATAAATTAATTAAATGCTAGCCTGGATATGGCTGAAGAGAAAATCGAGGTAAGAGATGCAGAACGCAGCCCAGAGAGACAGAGCCAATATCTGTTTATCTATATCTATCTATCTACCTACTATAGTCTGAATGATTGTGTACTCCCAAAATTCATATGTCAAAATTCTAACCCCCAAGGATGATGGTATGAGGAGGTGGGGTCTTTGGGAGGTGCTTAAGTCGTGAGGCTAGAACCCTCATGAATAGGATTCATGCTCTTATAAAAGAGAACCCAGAGAGCTCTCCAGCCCTTTTCACCATGTGAGGACACAGTGAGAAGGCACGAGCTATGACCCAGGAGGGCCCTCACCCAAAGGCGACCAGGCTGGTGCCTTGATCCTAGACCTCCAGCCTCCAGAACTCTGAAAAACTGTTTATAAGCCACCCAGTCTGTGATATTTTGTTAGAGAAACCAAACAGACTAAGACACTATTGATTGATCAATCGATCTATCTATAAGAGGCAAAATTTAACCATCGAAAGGAGAACCCAAAAAAAGTGATAGAGAAGCCTTTGTTTAACAGATAATAGATGAGAATTTTCCAGAATTGAATACAAGAGTCCTAAGATTGAACTCATACTCTGAGTGGCAAGTAAAAATAAATCACACTTAAACTTAGGAATATTCAAGGATAAAGAGAAAATGTTAGGACCTACCAGAGGGAAGACTACAGTGGGTGGTACTTAGACTGACCACTGTCTCACCCACAATGAAGGTGCCAGAAGGGCCCAGTCCTGAGTTTTATGACAAGTCTTAGAAGTCTATAATTATTATTTGTTTATTGGAATTAGTTTATTTGTCATCTTCCCCCTGAAGCATGTTCCTTTTAAATAGTAGAATTTATCAGACAAAAAGAATAAATTGCATAAATGTTTAAAAATTGTTTGAAATAATTTTTTAAAGATAGATTATGAAAAAGTGATCAAAGAAACAATAATATCTTTTGAAGAAATCAAAACATGAACATGTCTACCTTAAACATTCACTCAGAAGACTTCAAGAAATGAAACAAATGCTGCCGCGAAGCTGCTCGTTATGTTGAGAACTGAGAAGGAATAGGATCTAAGACAACGGAAAACTTGGCAAGACAGATATCTATTGAATATGATAAAGTTTTACAAAGAATGTAATAATATTTGAGAGAGAAAATGAAGCCAACTAAGTTATGAGAAGATGGGAATCTAAACTTTATAGGATTTACAAAGAAAACACTAGATTTGAGAAGAGCATGTTATAATTACTACAGGAAACAGAAGATTGGAGTGAGCATTATTCTGAGGTTAGTAAACTAATAAATTATACAAAACTCTCAGGAGGACTTAGATAAAGATATTTCTTACAAAGAGAATAAATAGAAGTTTTGAAGATGTCTACTGTGCAGATGAGAGTATTTGATATTGCTTCTGCATTTAAGGGCAAAATAATAGAAAATGGTACGGATGGGATGAATTTGACAATGGATAGCTGGCAAGTCACCAGAGTGAGAAGATGAGAAATCAAAAGAGACAAATGAGAGATGTTTCCCAAGCAAAACCAATGTGAACAATAGTTGGAAAAGATAGCGACCGTTTCCATTCCAAACTGAGCAGTCAAGTATCAGCCAGGCGTGAGCTGTAAGAACAAATACAGAAGCTGGAACCTGATTCTTATTCACTGAATTTGGCCAGATCCTTGCAGCAGAAATTCTCAGTGAATTCTATCAGCAGAAAGACATGACTCTGCAAAAGACAGTGGTTCAAGAATATGAATGGGAAGAGAAAAAGCAGAAGCTATCAGCAACAGAGGAAGTGAAAACTTATGAGCAGAGTATTCATGAAAGGAAGAATGAATTACAGAAAACAGAGGAAGGCTATAAAACCACATTGCTCTTCACGATAAGAAAATTCATGACAAGTGGTACTGTTCATGCTTCGAAAACAGTTTTTGCTTGAAAGATGATGCAAACTGTCAGCCTGAGAGAGTTATCAGTAAAAATTAGGCATAAGGGTAATGCTTTAAAGACTAGTGTTGACAAACCCAACTGCAGACAGACCCAGGTCATCAAACCACATCAGAGCCAGGTGTCTTAAGCCAGGCCAGCTCTTTTGGCCCACAACTAATATTGTTGGAACACTCTACTCCTCACTAATGATGAACACACCTGTGATAAGGCTCTTCTCTAAGGTTAGATACGTGCTTAGAAGTAAACATATGCCTTACACGGGCCTTCCTGTGGTCTTGGGGGTGGTTGTTATTGCAAATATCTGGATTACCTTATCTGGCTTATCAGATAAATTACCGAAACCTATCAATTCTACTCCTATTACTTGAATCTGTTCACTTCTCTCCACTCCTATAAGTATTTCAAGGCTGAGCTTAAATGTAACCTTTCTGGGTACTCTGAAAAGAGATTTTTTTTACTGGAATTTTAT